TGGTCATGCCCCTTCTTCTCTTGCTCTTACAATCTTTCTACCCACCTCTTCCATAGTGGTCCCTGAGCCCTGAGTGGGTGAAGTTTAATATAGGAGTCCTCGCCAAGGATCCTCACTCTGTAGACTCTGTTCTTTATAATGGTATCATATGACTTATTTTCCACTCAGACTTTTTTCTATCATAGCAGATAATTATTGCTAATTTGATAGCTAGTAAGCCCAGTATCACTGTTCGTTATAATGGGATTTTGGTATTCCCAAAGGAAGGAAAGGAAACACTCAGAGAGGAGAACAGGTAGCAAATAGCAAAGAGCAATTGAGGTTTTCGTTAAATTGGAAACATATTTTATAGGCAATGTCTAAATAATGAAAAATTAGCTCCTTCCCTTCATCTCATAAGCACCAGTAAGTAGGCACACTGTCCATACCTGCCATCACATCCCAGTTCCAATGGATGTCTGGGGTCTTTTCTTATGCTTTTGTTGAAAAGCATAAATCTAAGTAAGAGAAGACAAGAGTGTACCCAAGAAAATTCCTCCTTCTCATTTTATAAGCATGGGATACATAGGGCAGCAAGCATCTCTATCACCCAGAGGACAGAAGGAACCCAGGCCAGAGCATAAGGGATGTGTCAAGTCATAGTTGTGTATACTTCATAAGTCAACAGGACAGAAAACAACAGGGAACATGATTTATGGACTCATTACAGGTCTGTTTGAAGGCCAGTTTCAAGAACTGTTATAAAACAGTGCTTTTTAAAAGTTTCAAAATGTAAATATTTTGACTCATGTTTACTATATTTTAGATACTCTGTAAGATATTCATGGCTATGAGAAATATATTCAGAATGCTCCCATCTGAGTATTCTGCACCCAAATCTTCATGATGTGGGTTCCTAGGAAATCATACTCTATTGCATCAGAATGCTCATGAGCTCCCAAAATCATTCCCTACAACAGGCTTCCTCCATTAGTACACCATTCTACCATTGGTCAGGGGATCTATTGCTCAGTCGGTAGCTGCAAATGGAATGGGTTCCCACAGCAAAGGGATCATATAATGATCTTCACACTAAAGATTAAAAAGCAGCTAAAGCACATTGATGAAAAGTGACTGAAAGGCCAAAGATTTTATGATCGTGATACAAATAACAGTCATGAAAAGTGGATTTTAATAATGCAATCATGAAATTATGTAAGAAGCCTACATGGCTGATTTATTCTTTATACTGATAGTGAGCACACAGTTGTAATTATAATCTGTATGGTAGCTGACATTAGATAAACTCAGTTACAGACTTCTAAGTCCCAGAAAAATCCCATTTAAACACTTTTATTATTTATTAAAAATAATTTCATTTCCATTTAAAATAGATTCACTTTTAAGTGACATTTTCCCCAGCCTGAATTATCCTCACATAATAAGGACTTTCTGTATCCTTAGCTTTATTTTACAGAAGAGGAAATTCATGCTCTGAGGAGTTAAATTACTTTCATGCAGTCACATCATTTTCTAGCTGTTAATTTGAAAGGACTGTTTCCAACTATGGGCTGTTGGTGCCAATTCCAGGCTTCTTTCCACCGTGCATTAGCTATTTTAAATCTCTTCCTCCTGTACTCCAGCCCCATCAGGATTTCTAATTCCTGACCATATCTTCCACACTTTCTTTCCCCCGTGAGCATTCAGCATCCCCAAAACAGGTTGTCCAGACTTCTGTTATTTGTGATCCCTAATAGAAGAGTCATTGCTAAGAAAGACTAACTAGGTTGAAGATCCCATTCTGTCTGTGATGGACACTTGGTGATTTTGGACCACTGCCATGGAAGAGCTCAAACTCACATAATGATAGTATTTTCATTTCATGTTGTTTCATTTTTTTAATTTAAAAGTTCAGAATTGCCTGGGTGTGGTGGTGTATGCCTTTAATCCCAGCACTCAGGGAGCAGAGGCAGGCAGATATCTGTGAGTTCAAGGCCAGCCTGGTCTACATAATGAGTTCCAGGACAGCTGGGGCTACAGGGAGACCCTGTCTCAAAAAGACCAAAAAAAAAAAAAAAGTTCAGAATCTGTGACCCTTTAATTTTAGGGATTTTTATATATTCAATGTAACCAAAATATTTTTTATTTAAAAAAGAAAAGTGACTTAATGCAAGTGTGCCCATAGAAACTCCAGGTCCATTTATACTCCCATGCCTTCATTGAAAATGTTTTAAAATATTTTTATTGATCTGAGAATTTCATACAATGTATTTTGACCATATTCAGGCCCTCTCCCTACTCTCCTCCCCCACATTACTACCTTACCCCCCCCAACGTCATGCTCTCTATTATTATTTGTCCTTTTTGAAGGCCTATTAAGGCTAATCTGTATTTCCAACGTGCTTTTGGGGTGGTTCTATCCCTTAGAGTCTGATCAACCTACCAGTATTTTTTCTTGAGCCTTAAACCAATTCAAATAACTATATGTTTCAAATATAGATTTACTATATATTTCTTGGTTTATAATGGTGTTCTTGCTGAGGATAAGCATATTTACCTTTGCATTTGGATAGCAAAAGACAGACAAGTTCTAGGGCTATGCTTCCAATGAACAGTCTTGAGAGCTCATCATTTTTAAAAAAAAGTCATGTTTTCTTTTACATTTGTTAGCTTTCTTCCATTTTCATATCCACAAAAAATACCTGTCACTTCAATGGAAATAAGTAAAATGACTCTAAGGTACTGAACATCAGCACACCATCAAGTTAATAAGAATCCCAGAGTTATTTCATCATCATGAGATACAGTCTCTTTTATCACTATGTTGTAAATAAACTCACAAAACCAGAAAATAATGCAACTATGATACATTAAGTTAATAGACACTTTAATCAATAGAATAAACATAAAATTTAAAGTTGAGGAGTACTTGGTCAATAATTAATGTAAAATTTGGAGCCAACTACATTCGTAGGGACAGTTAACATTTCAAGAATAATGTCTAACCTGTGCTTTGATTTGAGTGATGCTAGAAAATGTCCAAATGCATATATTGTCTACAAGAACTTTGTTCCCAGGATGCACAGTGATTCAGCAAGCCCATATCATCACAGACACAGGTCCTGCCACCATCCAGCATTCCTTTGGTGCCTCCCATATTACTCCTCTGTAGTTAGCTCTCCTAGTCTCTTGCTGAGTTAACCCAACATCGAGGTTAATGCAACAGTCTGTGGAAAAATCATCCTAGGTATCACTCATCCTAGGTATTAGTCTCCAGATAGCTAATGGTTTAACTTGAGACAACTGACTTCAATGCTCTGGGCTTCCATTTTTCTTATCTGTAATAAGATTTTCACTCAGGGTTGTTCTGACCATTATGCGAGTCAGTGCCCATGAGTCGTTTAGAATGTTATGAAGTACATGCCACCACTTCAGTAAATGTTTTGATATTATATTATCATACATTTTTCATATTCAGTGTAGACATTTTATAAAAATATGGAATAAGTACATAATCAATTAGGAGATTTTGCAGTGATATTGGGGTTTTGTATGAACCCAAAGTTTCACACATGCTAGGAAAGTGGTCAACTTCTTAACTGTATTCCCAGTCCCCCTCAACTAGTACTTTTTAAATTAGTACTTAATGTGTAGAGAGTACAGTGTTGAAGAAGCCCAGTCACCAAGGAATTTAGAATCTTAGAAACTTCCTAGTTTTCTTTAAGTGTCTTCAAAGGGAGATTTCATTTACCACTAAAATCTATAATATTCTGACTGACAGGAAGAAGTCTGGCTATGTGAAGGTATAAATTACCCTTAGGCTTTCAAGTGAATTCTAAGAAAGCACCAGTCTATTTCCCTCAGGATATACATGAAGACTCTTTCATGTCTACTAAAACCACAGCACTTTCTCTAAACCTGCCCATCCTGAGACCTGTCCTGCCCTCCCTGTGCACTCACAGTGTGTCTGCATGTAGCTCTTCATATTTCTGCTTCAAGTACAACTTCTCAGGAGAATGGCCTCCAGTGCCTTCTAAGATGGAGTGCCACTTCAATGCAGGATCCCATAAAGCTCTATTTTGTCTCCAATATGTCAGATATACTGACATAATTCACTTTGTGACAGCAAAGGAAGAGTATCATATTCACAAGATAAACTGAATTAAATAATAATTGAATTAAATGTGTCTATTACTCATCAGTGAAAAAGCAAGTAGTGAAGGGTCCATGAAAGGGGCAGGGGGGTAGGCTGAATAATTTTCTATCCATTACTGTATTGAGCTCATCACAGGAGGGCTTCTATAATGAGGAGACACTATTATTTCCTCAGCCACTTTTATTAATCAACATTTTCATTTCCCTGTAGAGTGGAATATCTCTATTTAAATATATGACTTTTTCAAGCATTGTGGTTCCTTCCCACAAGCCAACCAACAATTTTTTCTTTGTTCTCAGTAAAGGAAGAAATAAACCCACAATCTCGAGGGAAAATAGCATGGTGAATTAACTGAGGAAAAATTTAAGAACCTCAGGATGAAACCTTCCCATGGAATGTCTTAGAGTAACTTGGCTTATGTGGTTGGCATTCATACCTTACTAATTTAGAACCTAGGAGACAAAAATGCAGCTCTCTCTATTTATGTTTAACATGCAAACCCTTGTTGGAGGCAGAAGACCTGACAGTTTTACCACTATACCTGTCTTGATCACACTAGAGCTTAGTAAACAAATATTTGTTAAGAAAGTTACATTCTACCAGCATTTAAAAAAAATCAGTCTGTTTGACAGTGACACAGAGTTCAGATCTGAAGACTAATATAGAAGAAGGTAGGCAGAATTTCACATTTTTTAAAACATGGAGATCAAGATCTAGAAATCTAGGTTGAAATGACAGAAACCTGAGAGTGGGACAGAACAGAATTCAGTGCCTTAGCATGAAAGCTTACATATGTAAGACAGCATCTTGTCCTTCAGTTCCAAGACAAACCAACCAAGCAGCTGACACCCCCTTATCATTTTAGGTCGAATGAGCCGGACTCGATTTATCATTATGCCAACCCAAGGAGAAGGACGGCGATGCCCCACAGAGCTCACCCAGCAGAAACCCTGCCCAGTGACTCCCTGCTATAGCTGGGTCCTTGGCAACTGGTCATCATGCAAGCTGGAGGTAGGTCACACAATGACAATTAGAGATTGCTTCTCTGTATCTCCAAAGCAGTTGTCTGATCAAATACACTGATAGAGTAAATTGTACCAGGTTCTGGCAACACTGTTTGTTTGTTTGTTTGTTTGTTTGTTGTTTGTTGAGATAGGGTCTCACCATGCATTGTACCAGGTTCTGGCAACACTGTTTGTTTGTTTGTTTGTTTGTTTGTTTGTTTGTTTGTTTGTTGAGATAGGGTCTCACCATTAGTCCCAGCTGGCCTAGAACCGCTTAAGTAAACCATCCCTTCTGGCCTTGATCACACAGTGAGCCACCTGCCTCTGCCTTCTGAGTGCTTAGATTAAAGGTGTGCATTACCACACCAAGGCTAGTACAGGTATTTTTATCACAGTGGAGAACATGGAAAAATACAAGCAAGTGAGTTAGCTTCACACAGAGTGACACTGCTAAGAAAATAAACATTCGTTCGTTATGTGTTGATTATAATAAGCTGGGTCACGGAACTGTCGAGCTCTTTGGCGGCCTCAGGAATTCTACGCTATTTTCTTGGCTTGCTAGGAATATCAAAGAATGATTTAATTAAGCAAAAACTCCAGTTCTGTGGAAATGCACAGCTTGTTTTAGATTATATTTCTTAAACATTTTTAGGTTTTGACAAAGTCATGCATATGGGCACAAAACCAAAAAGAATATGAAAGTTATATTTTAATATTATTACATGAACCAAGGTTACTACCTTTTCCTCAATGATTGTATTTTATTGGCCTGAAATATAAGTGCTTGGCAGCATCACAATATATCTCAGACCCCGAGCTTTTGCTTGATCAGCAAAGATCTGCTGTATGTTCGCTCTGGCTTCTGACTTAGGAAAAAGTGTGTTGACTTTCTCTATTTCCTTCTTTTACTGGTTTATCCTTCAGTTCATGTTCCAAAGCATATTTTAATTAGATACCAATAATTTTGATTATGCATTAAGAAATCTGCAGAGTATTGTCATAAAGATGTTTAGTGTTCCTATCAGGATGTCATTGTTGAGCAGCACTGTAATCTTGCAGATGTTAAATGTCCATGTATTTTAATAGGTCTCAAAGAAAAATATGTGGTACATTTGTTCAGTCTTCTTTGGGGGGAAATGAGGTAGTTGGGCTGATTAACAAATTCAGAAGTAAACTAACAACTCTAAATATTAAAATTTTGTCTACTAGTCTAAAAATATTTCTGACATCTTTGACAATTTTAAGCACTGCCTAAAATTACTTACATCAAGGAAATGAACAAAATAGTTCTTCTTATAGTTGTGATAACTTTGAAAGAGTAGAGAAAATAAACTCGAAGAATTCAGGGAGCCATTGCAGGGCAAGGGAGAAGAAAGTTACAAAAAGGGAGGGCTAAACGGAAGGAGGGAGAGGCCGAGGGACTAGCAATGCAACCACTCCAGTCTCTCCAAGGGTGCAGTCCCTACTCTGCCTTTCCACCTTCCCTTTTGTCTTCTCAGGTGTCAGGAGCCTTTTGGTCTTTGATAGACAAGTCTACCAACTTATAGGATCACTTTGGGAAAATGCCAAATAGAATGCCTTACCATCGTGTTGAGTTTGTACCAGAACCAAAGGGACAGTGATGGGCTGTGGTCCTCCTGTACCATGGCACTGTGGTAGGTGGGGGAGGCAGGTGTGACATCAGTTTAAGAGGCCTCAGGGTCCCATGAGAACTGGAGTTGGCTTTCAGCTCAAGAAACTGCAAAGTTGCCTCAAGGTTCTGGACAGGGCGAGACCCACCCACCAGCACTGACCATTAGGAAGAGAATGACTTCACTCAAAGCTCTCAAGGAACTAAGTCTGGAATCAAAATAAAAATTACACCCATTGGGTACCTAAACAAGGTCAGTCAGTGTTCCTTCCCATGAGTTTGAAGAGGATTGGAAGCTGTTCAGAGAACCTGTGATCAGGAACTCTTAGCTATTACAAGTCAATCACTCAAAAGCAAGAAAGCATAAAGAAAAAGACCAAAGCAGGGGCACAACAAGAAAAGACTCCATGACACATCTAAGCTGACTTTGTCCTGAACTCCAGGTGCATCCTGACTTTCCTACTTACCAACCTCTTTGTGAGGCAGATAATAGGGTATCTTTTCAGTGAAGTGTCCTTTCTTTCATTTACAGGCAAGCCAATTTTTTGGTGCTACTTATCAAAATGCATGCAGGCCTTTCACTCAAAGGAAGTCATCTCTTTCCAGCTATTTGCCTACTTCCTCTGTCTGTGCCATGTTGTAACCTTGCTGGGAGCTCTGCCACTGATGGTGGCAATGGTGTTTTAGTGGCTGCTTGCCTTTAGGAAGTATCAAGCCATTGTAACAGTCTTGCATAGGGTATAGTGGCTATGACAACCCTGCCACTATTCTTAATATAAAGACATTAGCAAAAGTATGTATTCATCTTCAGAAACCCCTTCTAACCCTACCCCAGGACCTCTGCCACTCATGTCTTTTCATACAAAGGGTTGAAGAGTTTAGATCCTGTCTAACAACCCTAATATTGGTAATAGTTCTGGAAATTCCTGGTTGTGGATTTTTGGCCAAGTATCTAACCTCTCAAAGCATTATTTTCTTAACTGTCTTATGAAGGTAGCAATAGATTGACCCAGGTCCCCTCCTTATACCATAGGTAACAACACCTTCAGAAACTCAAGTCTTTCATATCAAATGCATACAGCCTATATACTATGTGTACATGTATACTTTAATATCTACTGATTAATTATAGTGCTTAATGGAATGTGCTATACAAATATTTGTTATGTTGTATGTCATACGGACTGAAAGAAAAAATACTACACATGTTCATTCCAGAAGTAATTTTAAACATCTTTTTAATTCTAAAAAAGAATTAAATTAAATTAAAGAATTGGTTAAATCTGCAATTAGGGAATGTGGATTTTTCTTCCAGCTATGGAAGGCTAACTTTACTTACTTTTACTGAGTTTTGGGGAGAGATTAGATAAATTATATAAAATAGTTAGCATGGTACCTATCATAAATTCTCAGTGAATTGTTGTTGTTATAAATTTTATTGATATTCTGATTATGGTTATTAGTGCATCTATCTGTCTATATCTGGTAGAGGTATAAATTCAGTATGTACAAAGCCACTATTAATGATCTGGGCAGTGAAGATGGATGAGGGAACTCTGTCTGCAGTCTTCTCTAAGAAGTTGGGGTCTGCCTTCAGGCCATAGTGTGTAAATTCTGTGAAAAGCAGTGCTTGTTTCAGGAATGGAATTAGCATTCTAATGCTGATTTCTCCTCATATTGTAGCTGTCCTTAAAAGAATAAGAGATTAAGGTTGAATGTGGGCTGATCCCAAGATACATACCAGGAGCCTATTGCTGTTTGTCTTGGTTTTTAAGGTCATCCCCACTGCAGGCTTGTTTCCTGTGCTGCTACACAAGCTGCCTGATGGAGTGTCAAACTCATCACTGCATCCTCTGGTAGCTGAAGTTCCAGGTACCAGGATTTTCCAAGTCCACATCTATTGTAGTATCTTTACACTTGTTTCTGAGTATACAAAGTCCAATGTTCATTAGCAAACAGACACATAAAAAATTCAACAGTGCCATCATCAGGTTTCTAACGTATAAAAGAACACTCCCCACCAAAAAGAAAATTTAATTTATACTCGTTATTTTCCATTTTAGACTGCAAACATTTGTTTTGAATGAGTAGACTGTGACTTGATTTTAAACCTCTTATCACCAAAACTGCATTTAGGCCTAAAATGTTGGTAACTTTTCATAAGTAAACAATAGCTGTAGAAATGATCCAACCAAAGATAAGATCTTGATGAATCAATATGGAAATTGCCATTTGCTGTGGTCACAGTGTTTGGGCCCCTCATAATTCTTATGTTGAAGCCCAACCAGTAATAGAAGAGTGGCACCGAGAGGGGACGATGGGCTCTTATTTTCTGCCCTCACAGAAATGACCTGAGAGCTCCTGTTATTCTTCTGCCTCCTGAGGGCATGTGGAAGATCCACCTACAAGGAACCAGTAGGTGGTTCTCCCGTGCTTTGTGCTGCCCAGATTTGGATTCCTGCAAATAGAACTTTTCCTTGTTTGCCAGTACATCTGTCCCCATTTTACCATGCTACCACTCATGAGATATACATTCCAAGATCCTCAGGGGATGCGTGAAATCAGATAACACTGGACACAATACAGTACATTTTTCCTAAGCATGAATACTTACAGTTTATAAATTAGACACAGTGGGAGATTAACAAGAATAACCAATAATAACAAGTATAACACATATTTTAAAAAACTGTAAACATTTCTACCTTGTGCTTTAGGATCATTATTAACTAAATAAAGCTTGCTTAGACTCAGGCACTGTGTTACTACAATAGTTGTTTTGATGACCAGGATAGCTGCCACGTGACTGACAGATGAGTAGCAGACAGAGCCTAGACATATTTCATAAAGAGGTGATTCACATCCTGGGTGGGATAGAATGGTGTGGAGAAAATTTCATCATGCCTTTCAGAATGGCATGCAGTTAAAAACCTAAGTTGTTTAGTTCTGAAATTTCTCATTTGACACTTCTTTGTAAAGACAGGGTCTTTCTATAGCCAAGCTGACCCAGAACTTGCTATATTGACCAGACTGACCTCTAACTCACAAAGTTCTACCTGCCTCTGCCTCTTGAGTGCTGGGATTAAAGACACCATCACATGCAGCCCATCTGACACTTTTAGGCCACAGTTAACTCTAGCTAACTGAATCCTCAGAAAATGAAACTGCACCTATAGGGGAAGAGGACAGATACTGAATGTTTTTAAGTCTCAACTTCCTTCATATTGAGAACCCTCCTTAGCTGGTGGTCTGCATCATCCTGCCCCTCCAAGCAGTCACCCATGAGATCCCTTGAGGCCCAGAAGCTTCTGCCACTGTGCCTGGCTAGTGCCAGCTGACCTGTGAATTTGTAGATCACTTGTTTTATGCCCTGGATC